TTCTGGTTTTGTGGAGATAAACTACAGGATCAGTAGGTCTTATAGAGAATTAGACTGGATATTTGGGTGTTTGCATAGAAAATTGCATTACTTAAATCGTTGCAATTTGCAATTTGCTAATTTGCTCATTTTTGTGGTTCATTTTTGTGGTTTTAATTTGATTGCGATATATCTTAAACCCTTAATGCAACTGAAGTGAGAGGGTCAGTTCAATTCCCAGATCAGTGGGGGCTTAGTGTATATAACTCCTCCTGACTACTCATATTCCACCTGAAACAATTGAAATCCTCCTTCTTGTCATGACCAGAACTCTTGCTCGAGACCTGGGGGGAAGGGCACTGCGCCTGACAGCTTGCCCCATTAAGTTACAATGAAGTCTGGGTCAAATACATAAAACAAAATATCCCTTTAGGGTACAATTAAAAACTCCAACTCTCCTTTCATGATATAAGAGGATCATTTGTACATTTGTGTGGGACTGGAGAGTGTCAGTGTGTAGCCCGGAGGAGCAGACAGCTGTCCTCTCCTGGATATTGCCTCCAGTGCTACCAGTCGTCCCAGGCTGATAGCGGTGAGGTGGGCTTGTAACGAGAGGCTGGCTATAATGGAAAACACCCATCTCTGTAGGTGTGTGTGTGTGTTTATGTGCGTGAGTGTGTGCTGATTAAAAGCAGATGGCCCCTGGAGGCTCTTATCATTGTTGCTGTTTTCACTGACTCTTCTTCTGTCCCACTAAAACAACCGAACAGCTACCACCCACCCACAAGTCCAGCCCCCCTGCCTCTCCCTCCAAGCATACGTCTACTCCGGTCTATTCACACTCCCCCGGTCTCCCGGCTTGACCTAACGTTGACAGTAAATACTCCCCAAAGCTGCCCTCCCCAAACCGTAATAATGACCACACAGGCAAATTTACACATAGGCTGAATACACAGGGAAGAGTCCACGGTCTCAGGGCCTCTCGGTGGACACAGCGGTTAAGCACACACACTCAATCACGACCCAGTCACGGAGATATGTGGGCAGACCAAAGCAGCGGTTTTATGAGGGGTAGGGAGGGAAGTAAACAATAAGTATGGAAAAGTTGGTGGTGGTAGTAACAGTAGTAGTTGTTGTAGAACTAGTCGAAGCTATGGAAAAAGTTGCTATAGTGGTAGTAAGCAAGCGCAGCATGAGAAATATTAGTATCATTAGTGTTTTTTCACCGGCAGTTTTGATTTCTATTTGTTTCTATGTGATTTTTCTTCTTTTCATTTACATAGGAAATTGTTGCTGGTTTTGTCTTGCATTTTGTGTGTAATGTAGTTATTGTCTTTATCTATAATACATAAATAAATACGCAAATATGCTATAGAAATACATTTGGCGTTGGCATAAGCCTGTATAATCGCCATTTACACTAGCTGAATTAGTCGTAATATAGGTATTCATAGCTGTAGTGCTAGTAAAAAGGAGGAGTACTAGTATAAGTAATAGTTAATTAAAATGCTATGTTCATTGATTTGTTGACCATTTCTTAACTAATACTACTAATACACATTATTATATATCTTAATTTCTATATTTGTATGGCCTATGTGTATTTTAGTTATGTATGTTTCATATGAAGTAAACTTATGAAGTAAATAAATTGTAAACATTATATAAGTTTTTACAAAAGAGCAAAATAAATTGTTTTGTATGTTGCCCAAATAATAGCAATCACTAAATATTTAGTTTCATCTGTGGTCCTAATAACCATCAAAACCATGCTGAGTGCAGAGTGGGTGCATCAAGACAACAGGACACTGTGAGAGGATGTGGTTTTGACACGTGCACCTGTGCCAACAATGCACCAATTTCTGATGAAAAAGGGAGATTTATTTTAGTAACCAAAAATAGAGAGGCGATACCTTTGACCAAAACCTGTTTTAAAATGCTTCTAAAACAATTTAAATAATTTAGAGTAGCAGAACGAGAACTTGTTGTGAATCCAGTATAGTAGGGGTAGCAATGAAACAGTGGGACTAGAGTAGAAACAATGGATGAAACAGCATAGTTTTTCCAAGGTTACATCAGTTTAAAGGCATTTAATTACTCTTTTGAAAGTTAATAATATACTACATTCATCTTTTTTCTTCTGTGTCCATTGCTCATTAAAAATCTTGGCTTCAAATAGCACCATTAACAGAATTAGCCTATTTGTGTGAGTGCAATAGGACAAGACCACAAGCAGAGAAAACATAAAACTTGAGACTTTGAGAGGAAAATAAAAGTGAGAATCAGTGTTGGACATAAAGAGGCCAGATAAGGTGCATCCCACTGGGCAGGCTGTCATTACCACTTTGTCCAGAAAGAAACAGAGAAACAGCTTTGGACATGGTGTAACTGAAACCTCCCTTTGTTGTAGAGTCAGAGGCATGCTTTTGAAAACAATACTTACTTTTATTACTCAGGAGTATTCTGGGGGCAGGTCCCATTGTAAAATATAGCTGAAAGCAGGAATTAATGATAGGTGTGTTTTCTTTCCACTGGGATGATATAGTCTCATTCCAGATGGGATTTACACTAGATTAAAGTGCAAAAATAAATCTGGCAGATTGATTACAGAACTTCCAAAAACAAACCAGAAAGCAGCAAGGTAGCAGTTATCTAGTATGACTATTATTTTATATAAGCATTTGCAAAAAGGATCAGATCTCACTGTGTATAAGATACCTTTGTATTTTTATTAGAGATGAACAGCTTTTTCTGTTCCAATACTGATTTCTATACTATCACTTTAAGCATCTGCCAATACCCAATATCAACTAATACAAAGCAGAGACTGAAAATCTGACTTATTTCCTTTAAACACAAACAGCGTATAGTAAAAATGATTTAAATGTGTTTAAAGTAATTACAGAACAGCTTTGAAAAAATGCAAGTTCAATATTACTAGGTGTTTGGGACAGACATTGGCCACTAAATTGCCCATCATTTCATCAAAATGGGATATTAACTGAACCAATACTATGGGGCCGATATCTTATTTATCAAAATTGTCAGTATTGGCACGATAACTGATACCAGTATCATATATTTACGTGAAGATTGGTGATGTTTGGTATGGATAGCAATAGTGGCATATCAGCACAGAATATGAAAGATGCAAAGACGCAAAACTGTGTAGAATAGTCTAGAATAAAAGCAGTTCCTCACTAAATTGTCTTATATTGGAAACTGGATGTTTACTCCCTTAAATAGCTTTGGTTGGACTACTGTAGATGTGTGAAATTCCCCTTAATGCACACAAATATTGACTGACTTAGACAAATACAGCGGGTAATGCATATTTATGACAGACGGATCAAAGTGAATTCATTGCAGACATTAGACACACCTAAATCCTGACACTGGACTCTAGGAGCAGCTCATGATGCTGTCTCTTTGGGGATTATTGGAGTGATTGAAATCAGATAGAGCGTCTCTCCCACTCTGCAGTGTTTCCAGCCCAATGTGCGGCTTCCTGTGAGTATGGCACTGTGCTCATTATCACCTCCAACAAACTGCCGTCTAATTTCACACTCTTGGACCTCGTGAGCAGTGCACACATGTACCTGCAGCTCCTCTATTCACACCTAGGCAAGCTTTTATCAAAACAAGAACACAAAAAGAACAAAGGGGACACACCCAGATGCTTTGAAATGCAGTCACTCACACACACACGCACATAGTACAGTCCCATGAGCCCTTATGCTGTCCGCCCATCAGATAAAGTAGATCCTTTGACATTGTCCAACATGCAAAGAGAGGGCGCCAAGTTGGACTAACTCCACATATGAGAAAGGCCTCTTTGTGACCGCAGTCCTTCACAGAAAAACTAAACGCATGACAGGACAAGCCCTACGCACATATCCAATTACAGATTAATTAACATTCATTTAAAATGTGATTGTGTAATGAAACTAGGTGATTCCAGAACATTTTAAGGACATTCACAAACACCACATCCAAACTGAGATTAAATCTGGAGTAGAACAGGACAAAGCCATGTCTACATCAGGACTCAACTAACACAAAATGGACTCTTGTGAGCTTTAAGCCATGTTATAATGTTGTTGCCTCCTCAAAAACATAATTGGAGTTGTATTCTTTGGTAGAGAAATTATTTATTATTATCTGTCTACATCTTCAAGCCCAAAATGCTCTGCTCCACCTTGTGATGTCATGAAGCTTTACTTGTGGTTTTACCTTTAGTTCAGTAGAAACTGGCAATCCCAGAGCTGAAATCATCCCAGTGATTCTAGTGAAAGTGTATGGAGTTTAAAAACACAGTGAAGCACTTGACATCACAAGATGGAACAGAGTGTTTTCTATCTGAGAGAAGAACTCAGCCTACATATTCAGGGTTTACGTGTTAAACATCTGTGACTGAAACAAAACTCAACTCCAGATATTTTTTTTGATGACGAAACAACATCATAACATAAATGAGGAAATAGCATAATATAGGACTTTTAACATGACATTATTATTGACTCAGTATTTACTGTTCCATACAACAGTGTCACTGCATTACTTTTAATAACTAGGATGAATTAGAATTGTAAAAAAAAATCATTATCATCATAATCTTATATCTAAAAAATCTACAAAAAGGCATATTTTGATCAAAAACTAAAGAGCTTGAACACACAGCAGCTTTAAGCAGAAATGGTCAGAGTGAGACACAGAATAAAATGCCAGGGAACGTAACATGGGAGCAGCATTGTTCTTCCTTCTGCCTCTAGCTATTTGTCAGCAATACCACAGAGACATTTGGCCTGACATTTGAGTGACGCTGTAGCTTTAGGAGCAGCTCTGATCATGTCAAATGCTTAGAAAGGTCTTTTTTAGGCTTCTCCTGTAGCTCTAAAAAGCTTTTAGTTGAAGGTAAGTGAATTAAATTTGCATGTAATGGATGTTTTTCGCCTGGGCAGCGCAGAATAAATGAGGGATTTGAGATAAACAGTGTTCGACAATGGTTTTGGGGGACTCACGATGTCTTTGGATGTATGGCTCCGGTCCGTTCACAGTCGTAAACGATGAAGTTCCCAGATACCACAGCTGTGCCATTCACTTTTATCGCCACCGAAACAGTCAGATGATCTGCACAAACAAAGGAAACAGTGAGGAGTGCTGCCAGCTTTCAAACCATTCAAAATTCAGCCCGTGTCACAAGACAAAACAGAGCCGACAGATGTCCTACAAGATTTGCAGGAGTTGGGGATACAAGTGCATTTCCCCCAGCAAAAAAGAAAACAAAAACGAAAATTGTGGAATCATTTTTGTAGCACAATTCAAAGGTAAAATGCAAGATTTTGTTACATTATTGTTTCAAGTCAGGAAGGGAATCTGATGTAAAACTTCTGTAGATAATGGATACTCTGCATGCTGAGAAAAATAAGATAGGCCTATACATAAAATACAAAAAAGTGCCACAAAATTATTCATGTAATTTTTCATTTTTATCTGTTTATTTATGGGTATATTTTTTGTCTCAAATCTTCTATTTTTATTTAAAACCAATAGTGTGTGCAGAGTTTGAAGATGGATTTGGCAAAGTTTTACATCAGATGACCTTCCCTGGTTATCTGATTTTAGAACAAACATGGGGTTACACTGACTTCACTGACTTGCACCCCTTGTGGCTAGACAATGTACTGAATCCACATTGTTCTACTGATGTACACTTCTATAGTTTTGCTTCTCACCTGTGCCGGGGAGGATGGGCTGGTAATTCTCTCTGGGCAGCAGGGGGCAGGTCTGGATCTGAGCAGGGCCGTAGTCCAGGTGCACTGTCGCAGCTGTAGATACCCCTGGCCCGTATTCACACTCCACCCGAGAGCCAATGAGATCAGGGACACTCCCATTTATCAAGATCCCAATGTCCTACAACCACAAAGACAGATCAATATGAATCAATACAGCTGCTTCCTCACACCAGCCCACACACTTATAGCTATCTGCAGAAGTTACATTTAACCTAAGTGGAATGTATAATGCAAATTTTTACTCTGGGTTCATACACAAGGATACGTATTTGGGCATATTGGAATTCAGATGATATTGAACCTTGTCAAAAATAGAATGATCAAGGTCAACATTTATGAATTTACCTTTTGGATATTTCATGGCAAAGTGCCAATCTATAGGGAAAACTGGCACTTGCCCCCCATTTGGGAGTATAACTAAGGATGTAACAATAACTGAAATATCGTGATATCGTATCGTCTTACAATAATATTGAGGCCCATCACAATTTATCGAATTACAAGTCTCTAGCTTAAATTAAGAGTTATGGTGCAGCAATAGCAAAAAAAAAAGACAGAGAACTACATAGACCATGATCCTTTGCTCCGTTTCAGTGTAGACTACATGAAGAAATAACAGTTCTAAGCATTTTTAAGTCTTCGTTCTTTGGATTAATTCTTGTCAAGGCATTTTAAGAGGAAAAAGTAGCATATTAACAGTTTTGTTAGCTTCCACAAAATATCGCAATAAATATCGTGCCGTGAGATGTATATCGTAAAAATATTGTACTGAGAGATTTGGATATTGTTACATCCCTAATCGTGAGTCTCCCCACCATATCGTGAGCTTTCCCATGATATTGCAATAAACATCGTACCGTGAGATTCATAACGTGACAATATCATATCGTGAGACTTGGATATCGTTACACCCCTAAGTATGACATCATCTACAATCTGAAAACCACCAATACTACAATCGTGAACATTTTGTCTATTGATTCATGATGTTTTAACAAATGCCATTTGAAACTCAATGCCATTTATCCAGGCTTAGAAGTGCTAAAAGAATAAATGCGTGCAAGGTTTCTTCTATACCTTTGAAGGAATGTGAGAAGTATAACAGTAATCGTAGGGACACTTATTTTAAAAGCAGATACTCCAGAGTACTAGTCGACTACTGATGTCTCTATAAGCGTAGGCCTGCCTGTCACAACAACAAATATTAAAAAGTATAATACATTTTATTCATAAGCTCCTTTCAAAACACCCAAGGACACTGTACAGGATAAGTTAAAAACATAGGACATGTGAATAAAAAAACAATACACCTATATGATAATATTGCACTCACAACACTTACCCTGCATGGGAGTTCATGCAAAAACAACAATTTATGCAGAAGATTAAAGAATGAAACAGAAGATGAAACTTGTGAATCGTGTTTCTTCCTTTTTGCACGTAAATACCAAAAAATACCAATTCCTTAGCTAACTCACTAACTTCTTCTTCCTACTATTGTCACGAGTTTTGAATTTAGTCATTAGAAACTCTGAAGTGAGGTTAGTATGAGCTATTCGTTTACTCATGGTACAATATAACTTTTCCTCTATATTTAGTAATATTTTTAAATTCAATAATATTATTTTAAAGTGATCAGACCTTCATTATAAAGCACTTCCTTCCACTTCCAACTCTCTTATTTATACAGTAGTAGAGTAATAGGCCTAGTCTTTAGCAGAGGTTGAACGACATTGGCTTTTATTCAAATTTGTTCAGTAGTTCAAGGAGAGAAGCCGAGAAAAGCGAATGTGCAATGAAGAAACAGATGGCGGGGTGCTAGCATCACGTCTAAAATTGGCTTAAGTGATGAAGTATGACAGACATATAATGAGAAACATAGCACCTCGCTGACATGACTGCATTTCAGCAAAAAGATTTCAATGTGTGAAGAGGAGACAGCGGCAAGGAGGCTGCTATAGGATACAAGCAAAGGCAGTGAGGCTCTGCAAAATATAAGATGCCACAGTAAAGAGATGCGTTCTTTATGTTATTTGTTTTGGTGAAGACTGGTGAATTGTGTGGGGGCTCCAGTTATAATATTTACCCTGACACCCCTTCCTTACTTGTCCTGCTGTTTCAGATTTGTATCACAAAATTCCTTTGCCCAATCTTCATTGCTGTCGCCAAACCAACAGCCACCCCAGCCTCTCCATCACTTCCTCTTCTTCATGACAGTATATAGGAATAATGAGGGGTTTTTTTTTTCTTTCCATACACAACTCTCATATGCCCTCTACAAAAAACTGAGTTCTTCTCAAACAGAAAACACCTTGTGATATAATTTGGTAATACAGGAAATGCTTTACTGTGTTTTTAAACTCAGTGGCTCTAGGATTTTGCTGAAACAGGGGCCATTAAGGGGCCATACTTTACATTCTGGGGTCAAGAACAGGATACATCCAAGCACACAGATGATTAATTCCGTACGGCGCAAATACAAGCATAGCCAGTAAGTTGTATTGACACAATAGGTCTACTGCTGTCAAGAGTTTGGGGGTGGAATTGCATCAGTGATCAGTGATGATCTGTGACGTGGAACAAAGCATTTTGAGCTTTAGAAATATCGACATACTAATAATAAAGTGTTACTCAAACGTGTGAATGAAACAAAACACAACTCCAGGTCTGTTTTTGATGAGGTAACAACATTCATGGCTTAAAGCTCACAAGAGTCAATTTTAAGCCCTTTAAGCAAACAACTACATTAAATAAACAGTGAATATGACCAAATTGCAGATTGTCCAGCTCTAATACTAAAGTTTATAACCTTAAAAAAAAAAAAGGTTAGCACCTCATCAATTACCTTGTTTTGCTTGAAATAAGACATTTCAGAGCATAAATATACACAAATTATTACATCAAAATAGGGAAAAACAGCTATTGTCAATTAGTTTAGTTTCTCTTTTGTTCAATCCACAGCTGTATTTGTGAATCCGGAAAAACACAAAACTAGAGGCGGAACACGCACAAACTTGTCCCTTCTATTGTCTTTTTGGAATTGATCATTTCCTGTCTCGGACCTGCTTCCTGTTTGGGGGGACAGCCTTGAGCGGTCTTTCCTGTGGCTCTGAGGATGCCTGAAGGATGGGGCTGACCTACATAACAAGAAAATTTCACCAATTAATGAACCAATTAATGACCTGTCTCCGCGCCGCCTCTTCTCATTACGAGCCATAATTACAGGTCAAATGCATTTAACGTGTCAGGATTTAGCTACAGCCAATTCAACTGGGCTGCTCTTTTTATGCTTGTTTTGTGCAAATGTGAGAAAGAACAACATAGCCGTCATAGTACTCAAATGACACTTGCCATGTATTTGTTATTATGATTTATTATCACGTCAAGTTTCATTAAAGTGAGTCTAATGGGATTATTAGTGTAGTCAATAGCACATTTCCCATGTCTGAGAGATTTATAAATAGGCTTAATACAAAAAGTTATTACTAGAATTATCATCTCATCTTTCTGATTGTTACATTTCAGTGGCTTTATATTCCTCCTCTGCACGAACCTCCATCTGGAAAATCTGGCTTTATCCCTCAAACAGCCAACAATCTGATATTAAAGGTCCTATATTGTGCAAAATGGACTCTTGTGAGATTTATGCCATGTTATACCACATGTTATACCACATCAAAAACATACCTGGAGCTGTATTTTGTTTCATTCACACATGTTTGAGTAATCCTACATTATTAGTCTGTCTACATCTTCAGATCAATATGCTCTGTTCCACACTGTGATGTCATTAAGCAGTAGTTTTCATGTTAACAGTAGGGGTGTGCAAAAATATAAAAATATTGATATATCGCATCATTCAATGTGATGATACAGTATTGATATCAAGAACTGTTGTATTGACATATTGCCAAGAGTATTTTTTTGTATATTTTACTAAATTATTTTGTTACAGAGCTACAGTTTTGTTGTTTGTTTAGTGTGTTTATGCGACACATTTGACATATTCACTGTTTTGATTATTAAAATGGGCTTTTTTCATATTAACTTTGCACAAGAAGTGGTTTAACAAAGACTTTTAGTATCACAGCCATGATTTAACCTTTATTTTTTATTGAGCCGTATCAAATTGATTTGAAATATATTGTATCAACCCAAAAGTTCAGTATCGAGGTATGTATCAACATACTTTTATTTCAGCAGACATTGGTAGTTCCAGGGCTAAATTTATCCAAATGATTTAGGAAGGTGGAGTTTAAAAACACAGTGGAGCACTTCCTGTATTCCCACGCGACATCACACGTGGAGTGTTTTCAGTTTGAGAGAAGCACCCTAAATATGCAGGGTTTGTGTATTGAACATGGGGGAATGAAACATAACTCGGGGGATGTTTTTGATAATTAAACTACATTATAGCATAGATCAAAAAGGCATAATATGGGCCCTTTAATATATATTATCCACTGCTCAGCTTTGCTTTACCCTAACCAAACCACTATGCGCAACCAAAGACTGAAGGAACACAGGGTAAACAATGCTTAAAAACCCAGACTGTTTTTACCTAGAATTGCCAGGAAGATAGAGGTCACGTTGTTTGCCCCTCAACAACTTATCTAAGCATCAGCTCCTAAAGTGTTTATGTGAGGTCAAAAACTTTCCAGATTTCAATTCAATGAGTCAGCCTTTGCTATTGTCTATTTAGTTACTGCCAGAAAAAATATTTGGCTTGTTAGATGAAGCTTAAACACCAGTCTGTTGCTTGGAGGGTGAGTAGTGGAGGTTTAATGTTTAACCCACCTTGATGTCTGCGGAGATGCTGATCTCAGGAGGCGTGAGGGTCATGGATGGACACTGCTGAGGCCCCTCTCCCAAACTGATCCAGGAGCGCGGAGATACACCCAGACTGCAGTCCTTCTGGAGACTACACCTGCACACAAAATACAATTCATACTTAAAGGTGCATTCTGTAACTTTTCTGATAGGTAAACAATTGTTTTGTTATTGTAAAATCTGTATGAATCTACAGCAGTGTTTTGATTTTTTTTTTTCTGGGGACTCCTATTTTAAAAGTCATAAGCCTTATAATAAACATTATTCATAAATCACAAAATAAAGGTGGATTTGACCATTATTGAACATTAATGAGGATATTTTATTGTTGACTGAGTGATCATGTCTCTCTGAACAATTAGTATTACTCAAGTTTTAAACAATGAAAAACAGTCATAGAACAAGCAATAAAAGGATCCATAAGTTGCCTATTTGGACATTAAATGTAGACCTTTTTTTTCCTTTTCAACATTCAACTGAAGCAGCAATATTGGAACAAAATAGTCAATACATTAATTACAAAACACAAACAAACAGACACAAACAAAAACATGTCTTAATATTTCAACATTTCTAATGAGATAGATGGGCTTGTCTGCATTTTTGTAGCGCATTCCGCAACACACAGATCAGGCAACCCTAAAAAATCTCTTTCGACCCACCTGAGGGTCACAACACAGTCCTTGGGATACAATGATCTACAGCACACCTGTTTTTATTATTGCTTAAACATGCACTGTATAACTTTTCTGCTTGGGGATGTTGTTGCTTTGTCTGGAATTTCCCAGCATTAAATGTATCCATCTTGCATTTTCTCAATAACAAGGGTTTTTAATGACCTAAAAGCTTTCATTCTTACTGTGAATGGGCTCACCTCTTTACAGATCTGACATGTAACTTGACCCTGTGGTGTAACCTGCTATCTCCGTGGAGATAAATAAGTGTAATGCCATACTGTGAAACATTCCAGGCAATATCTCCACAAAGAGAAGCAGGTGACAAACCATCCACCAGAAAAAAAATCACATTGCATTATTAAAAATACCTGACAAAACATTTTTACTGTGATTGGACTTGCCTTTCTTCAGATCTGACTTCGAACCTCTCTCCATGGAGATACTGTATGTATGTTTAATGCCATATTGTGTAGCATTCTAGGCAAAGCAATGGCATCTGCATAGAGGCAGCAGGTGGAGGACTCTCCAACAGAAAAGCCACACCTTTAATACCAGGTGTTGTATATTCAGTGACTATTTGGTCTCTTGCACCGGCATGTTGTTGTAAATTTGACAAGAGTCTCAGACATGCCTATTCAGCAAAAACAGCCTATTTCCTGGGAAAGTTTGCTCTGAGACATTGTGGGGGAAGATTGTCTATTATCAGCAATGCCTTCCCTTGAACAAGAACATCTAATATACAGTAATTGCTTGTCAATGGTGCTGCTTGTAACTATCAAGAGCTGCTCCAACTCAGCACCAGCGCTGCACTGAGAATACCAAGCCTTAAGGTCAACATGTCACCCCTTTGTGTGGAAAGAAAACACAAATTTACAACGCCCTACCGTTTTAATTTTGGTTGGAATTTGCACTGCCAGGTTTCACGGTCGGCTGCCCGGAGATTTATGAGGTGATGCTTGCGTTCACATAATGCGTTCAGGTTTTGCTTTTTAAAATGGCTCAACACTAGGGACAACTTGACACTGGGTCACACTCGCAGCTATGGCAACCTGCCCCAGGCGAAGATCAGGGGCTAGTTACAGGCAGCCGAGTGAGGAAAACCAACAATAACAAAAACAGTTTCTGTGTGTGGCATTGACTGGAGGACACATAAGAGTACAGCAGTGTGCCTATCTGTGAGTCTAATAAGGTCTAGGGCAGAGGCAGTGTGTGTGAGGGGGAAAGAGAGGGAGAGAGACGGGGCATTCAACAAGCAAGGTGGCCCTGGAAGTGACTTGTGCCTCACTAATGAACTTGACTGTTTGGCAGGAAGCGCAGTTCATCTGTGAGAGGACAGAGTGACCTCCGACTGAGGAGAACTCAAATAGACCCCCTCTAACAATGTCCCATACAAAGAGCACAGTTTATACCCCACCTCATGCCTATGGAGGAGTTCAAAACTGACTTATTCAAAAAATACTATTCATATTCAATAAATGTATACGTATACAAGAGAAGAGACATGTTTTATGTACTAGCACTGTCAAAAGTATTGAAACTCAGATACTAATCGATATTAAAACTAGTATCGAATCTAGATATTGATTTTATAAGATAACGATACTAAAAAAATCAGATTCACAGGACAGAAATTAACCTTGGTTTGGAATTATCTTAAGCTATACAAGTATTACACCATATAGACGAGTATCCACTTCATTATGTCTCCAAAACCAAAATGAAAAAAACTGATAATAATTAGTTTTTGATTTTGTATTTAAATGAATAATAGAAAAAACAGATTACAGTCTTTTCCCATTTCCAATCAGTCCTGGTTTAGTCCTGGTTCAGTTCTGGTTTAGTCCTGGTTTAGTCCTGGTTTAGGACTGAGACCGGGATCAGACCAGGACCAGGACAAGGACTGAGACCAGGACTGAAATCGGGACCAGACCAGGATTGCAGGACCAGGACTGCAACCGGTTTAGACCTGGTTTAGGCCTGGTTTAGTCCTGTTTTACTCCTAGTTCACAAAATCGAAAAATTAAAAAACTAATTGTTATCCATTTTTTAAATTTGTTTTTTGGAGACAAATAATGAAGAAAATTTCATTTTCTTATTTTTGGTTTTATTTTGAAAAACTAATGAATGATACACAGATTCAGGAACCATGTTAATTTCATCCTATCACCAATTACTGTTCTGTAAATATGTACGCATATTTGTAAATGTATTTTTTATTCATTGCTCATTTCTAACTGCTAATATGAGTGGGTGGGGCCAATCTCAAACTGAATTGGGGCTCTGATGAACTTGACGCTCTGTGCATCTGCTGCCCTATGAAAAGGACAAAGTGACCTCAGAGCGCGCCCAACCCAAATAGACCCCATTTACCACTGTCCCGCGCAAAGACACCACCTCATCACTTTTACACTAAAAAAACTCCTTTATCCTCGTGTCCTCCCCCCTCCCCCGCTCCCCCCTCACCACATGCCCGCTAGTGTTTGTGCAAAATGTATGTGCAGAGTCCAGACGCTGAGTCCCTGTGGCATTGAGGGACAGAAAGGGGCTGTGAGGTCAGATGCTCCACTAAAAATAACCCATGGAGTGGCTCTGCTGCTAGCTACATAACCCCCTATCGCGAACACACTCCCAAGCACTAACAACTCACCAACTTAGCAGCAGCAGAGGGGGAAAGGCTCTGTGGTTAGAGCCCCATCAGCCACTAACACGTCCTCATCAGATTCATGCTAATTCGACCAGCAATTTGCCACTTCTAGTCTCAAGTAATCACTTCTACTTCCTCCCAAAATGAGGAAAAAACATGCAGTGTATAAAACTAAATGCATGCAATCAGGGGTGGACTTATGTGGTTAGATACGCTGAGGGTGTGTTCACATTGTCCTGGTTTGGTCCTAATTTAAGCCCAGTTTAGATCCTTGGCATAGATTTAGCTGAGTCCTGTTCTAGGTCAGAATTTGGTTTTTGGTTTAGTCCCAGTTAGGGCTGGGCTGGTGATTGAAGACAATGTCTGTAAAGTACTTTTGAAGATATGAAAAATTTAAAATCAAATATGTAATTTGTACTGAAAAGAAATGATAGAAGTTGAAAATAGAAAAAAAAAAGTGACTTCAAAATTGTCTGATACAGTTAACACAACAAAATACAAACACTTAACACTGTTTTAATATCATCTGAATATCGATATCAGAATACTCAAAAAATTATTGAGATGTGAATTTTTGTCAATATCGTCTAACACTATAGTCCCCAATAGCCATAATTTTGATGTGGTGCTTAATTGCTTCATTGTGGTAATTGCTTTTTTGTTTTGACTTCTGTGTTGAGGTCACTTACGAATTTGTGATGCTTTGCTGAGAGATACTCTAGAAGGAGATCTAAATGAGTGTCTTGTATGGAGTCGAACACATGTGGCTGCCTCCGTGTTTCTGATTTACAGACAGAAAGGAGACGACACAGGTTCAGCCTGTACCAGCTCTGTAATTGGGGTCAGTAAAAAGCCAAGAAAGAAACATACCATGCTGTGTGACAAGAATAGCCAAAGTGCTGTGCTGGCCGTTTCTTCAAAATATACATGTTATGAAACTGAAGTACCACCAAAATCATTTCCCAAAACCAAAAATCCAGTCATTGTACCATTCTCGCAAACATAGCTAGATTATTTTTGGGCAGAAGTAGATAGCTGCAACTTTTTTGATAAGAATTTGCGATTATGTTTGGAATAGAGATAGTCTGATAATTTGGTTGACAATATTTGCCCTTTTTAGCATATCAGCTATCAGCCATAAATCTCCAGCAGAGGCCGATATTTTATTTGGCCAAACCGGCAGTCTAAATATACATGAAAAAGCTTTGTTTGAACACTTTGGTCCAAAGAGGGTACTGCAAAAAATGTGACTAGACTGGACTCTACACAGTTTATAATAAAAGAAGGCTGAGTTTGTTCAAAATTTTAGCTTGATAATTCGGGAAAAATGACCTTAATTGGGTCCACATGTCGGCCCAAAAATATCGGCAGATGTCGTTGGTTCTTCTAAACAATCAGTATCAACCATAAAAAATGCAAATTGGTTGATCAATAGTTTGGAATGTATATTTTAAACTCACTTAGAGGCATTAATATTCTAGAGAAGAGTGGAATATGAAGTGCTAAATATAACAATTGTTTCAGAACTTGCAGGTAGTTTTTGGTAACGTTTCTGGTTGCAGGTCCACCACTTGTTAGTGTCTATGAAGATATACTTTAAAAAATTTATTAATATATAAGTAAAAGTACAAATACAGAGGCACAAAGTCATTCAAGTAAAAGTGAAAGTATCAGAGGCAAAAATCTATTTAAATAAAAGTATTGACGTATCCACTCAAACATGTACTTTATGAGTAAAAAGTAAAAGTCCTTCACATAGATTCTGATAGTGTTGTT